ACTCATCTAGCTGAAGGCGCTCGGTCAAGCTTCCGCACCAGATCACGTGCTCAATACCTGCCGCAATCGCTAGCCAGATTAGTGCAAACGATCCTCGATATATTGATAGCTTATCAAATATATCCTCGATCTCCTCACTTCTGTCTTTTGAATGTACTTGGTGGGTGCGCTTCGTATTAGAAGGTGTTACTGGTTAAAGCGTTGTCAAACTCCGAATACCTGTGGCATCTTTACACGTTTATAGCTTGAATAAAACAAATATATCGAAGACCAGTGAAAAGAAATGACAACCGGAATAATAGTTTATCATTACTTAAGTACTATGAACTTCTCCCATAACATCCTCGAGCGAAACACATTTGGTTGCTCTCATAGGCAAACAAATTATCATTGTATATTCAAGGGGGGGGGAAGGATTATAATGGCAACATTTTTCTAACATAGCAGGTGCGCGCCATTTCTATAGGCATGGTCAATAATTCACGGAGTTAGTTTGGAGATGAGATGCTACTCAAATAGTGTTATTAAGTAGATGGGATTAATGAAAATAAATGGCAAAATATTCGTGCAGATGTATCAGCGAGTTAATAATTAGGTTTATTCCGTTGTATTATACCATGAATTCGAAGTTTTCCTGTGTAGGTCATGCGTCTAGCTAGTATAGCCTTTGTGTGCTAGAAGAGCATGGAAAGTGACATAAATAATAAGGGTTGAACAAGAGAAAAACAAATGAAAAGGTCGGCCGATGACCCAGCAAGTGCACACAACGCACTTACATTTGCTACGGAAATCTATCAACAACAGTCATCATTAACAAGTCTTACATTAAGATGACATCAAAGCCAAAATCTGGAAGCGGATAGTTTAAGCAGCCTCATTGTTTAACATTCAGCTTTTTTAAGTTTGTGTTCAGCTTGGAGGTGCCTTGTGTGCTGGAAGAGTGTTAGCAGCAATATGTGAGATTGTCTTGAAGAGAAAAAAAAGTAAAAGTGAATCGATGATCCAATAGACAAACGGAATCTAATAACAAAAGCAGTTGACAACATTCAGAACTAACAAGAGCGTGAGAATAAGATAATCTGATAATCGAAATGAGGGATTTTTAGTATAAGGCCCCAAACTTGTAGCGGTTTTAAAATTATTGTCCATGGTATGATTGCTGTGAACGATTTATCACGGAACAACAAAGAGTAAACGTGCTGGGAGAGGTAAAATAACCCCCTTATAAACTGAAGCTGCAAAATTACATATAAGTCAATTTCGCGAATAAATTTTAGCTTTCACAATTGATTGATCACTGGGTGGTGACCAATGTCATGCGTGTCTAGTCCTTATTATTAGTGCAAATCGAATTCTATCGACCATGTTGCTATATGGCCACTAGTCTAGGTGACTCACATTAATGCCCGCAGTGTCGAGTCACCTAGACTAGTGGCCATATTGCAACATGGTCGATAGAATTCGATCTGCACTAATGATAAGGACTAAACACGCATGACATTGGTCACCACCCAGTGATCAATCAATTGTGATTACATGTCAGTCCTACAGGAGGTCGGTCGCGGCCTGGATGGTTCAGTAGTAACGTCTCTGACTGTGAAGCTGGTTGACATGGGATCAAATCCGCCAAGGTGCACCAGTTCCCCCAAGATTACAGGTACACCTTGCTGACAAGTAGCACGAAACCCGGGTCCAGGGTTTCCTGTCGACTATCTCCAACCACCATCTAAACTTTCGCTTTTGTAATATGACTGCGTAGTCCGCTTTTCTGAAATATATAGGTTGTGCTGACACTTCATGTTCCTCCTCCTTGCTCATTCACTGATGCAGATTGTATATCGTTGTAATGGATTCTCAATAACCTCAAAAGAACCCCGATAACATACACATAAATCTGTCGAGATGCCAAAGCGTCTTTAACCACGCCTTATATATGATGCGTTAGAAAATGGAGCCGAAATCAAATCTTGATCACAGCAACGTCCCAACCATTCAGAATTCATTAGAAAGGATAGTGGTTTAATGGACTTGTATTAATTCTTGTAGTTCATTTTCCAGTGAAGATCTAGATCCTCCATGAAAATATCCACTTACGGGGCTGATATCAATTGTTAGAGCAACTAAAACCACAGACGCTGGTCACTAACTGGAATCCATATACATCATGATAGGCCACATGACTCCAGGATCAATCACAAAAGAAAGCTGGAACTAACCATTCTATTTATGAACTGTCTAGATCATTAAAAGTGTGGAAGACACAGGGACTACTAACTGGTATAGGTAGGCTACCTGTCCATTGACATGAGGCTCATACAGAAAACAGGACGGGGAAGCCCACGCGTTTCAAATCGAAAGCTCAAACTGCTTGTACATAAACGCCGCAAGTTTACTAAATAAAATGGATGAGCTACGTGAAATCAGAATTGCTAATAATGCTCATCTAATAGAAATATGTGAAACTTGGGTATCTCAGTTTACGGACCAGGAGCCAGCGATACACGAGAAGTCTTTGTTTATTAGTGTCAGTAAAACAGGAATTGTGCGTAGAGTAGCATTATATTTACCACCTTGCCTGGAGTTGTATCAAGTGCACAACCAAGTATTTATCAATTATGAGGAATCTGTGTGGTGCTTAGCAAGATTATCCATCACCTCAAGGCGTCTAGTTGGAGTGATCTACAAGAAGCCCACTGCTGAAATCGGATACGACATTCGTATGTCGGAAGGGTTATCCCACTCTACTCGTCTAGGATTCATTCATAACCTGATTCTAGGAGACTTCAATCTTCCTAAAGTCAATTCCGTGGAACATACGTATATCGGAGGTGAAAACTCTACTGAGGCTCGGTTCTTCAACCTTATTGAGGATCTGGGATTATTTGAAAATGTGTAGTTGGTAACCCTTTGAAGAAACAGTCAGACACCGTCGCACCTAGACCGGGTATTTACGAATGAAGAATTCCTAATTGGCAACCTCACAAACCTGACTTCCTTGAAGGAAAGCAGCCTTTAGTTTTATCAGCAAAACTGAGCTAAGACATTCCACCAACAACAGGCACTGGAATTTCAAACGGTTAAATGTGTCACCTCTGAGAAACAATCTACAGCAGGCAGTTTGGGAAATTCGCCGTCAACCTGATGTGGAAACTCATTGGGAATTCGTACTGCAAGCGATCTTATGTGCTATAAGGCAGTTTGTTCCTCAAATTGTCCTCAAAGTTTACAAGCAACTTAAAGTCATTAAGAACCACACTCTTCATTTGCTAAGTCACAAAGGAACTGTTGGGTGGAATGCAACAACGTCTCATACAGGTATTGCAAACAAGTAAGTAGCATATACACAAAGGCAATAAGAGAGGAAAAGCTTCAGTACCAGGTAAATATTATTTGTCTCTAATCCGAAAGGCTTATCCCGTTATGTAACCTCTCTTCGACAAGCCAAAACTGGAGTTTTTCAACCGCTAGGTTCTAATGGCTCAAACAACAACGATGGTGACGCCGCTAATCTTCTGGCTGAACAGTACATTTTGACCGACCTACATCAACTATACTGATGACGCTTCATCTGCAACTGCACAGGACTTTCCGAAGTGAACCTGAGCTCTGACATGGTGTACTGGAAACTGCAGCACCCCAGAAAAGACACTTCTCTTGGTCCTGATATGGTTCATTCTGCTATACTGAGGAAAGCAGCGTCAATCCTGGCAACAACGTTTAGCGTGATGTTCTCACAATCACTAAGACAAGGCACATCACCAAAAATTTGGAATCTGGCTCATATCACACCAATTTTCAAAGGAGGTGGACGCAGTGGACCTTCAAGCCACCTCTCAATGGCTTTTCTCTCTATAGCTTCAAACATTATGGAGTCCTTATTATGCGACGGTATACACGACTGTTTGTTATCCTTGAACTTCTTTTCACCCCAACAGCATCGTTTCAGGAAGAGTTATTCTTGTATAACCAACCTGCTGACTGTGTTGGACAAGTGGACAACCACCCTTGATCTCAATAGGAAGGTTGACGTCATTTGCCTTGACTTCTCAAAAGCTTTGATAGAGTCAACCATATATGTCATATCATTAAGCTTGAAGATACCCTATGTATTTGTAGTTTGACAACAAATTAACCAGTGAAACCTATAACTGAATCGTGACCACCCAGTGAAATTAATAGTCAGAAGATATATTCGATAGGCTATCAATATATCGAGAATCGAGTGATCTTGACTGGCTAGCGATTGCAGGAGAAGTTGAGCACGGCGTTCCCACTCGTGATTTGGTGTGGATGTTTGACCGAGAGCTTTCATCTAGGTAAGTTCATTAAGACTAATGTGGTCAGCATCAAATGTCGAAAACCCACATAGTTATTGATTTTGGGGATTTATTTACAACTCCAAGCTCATGTGATTAGGTATCAAATCACCTTTGATTGATTATCTCACTACATATCTAAAAAATTGACATTTTTTGGTCAGAGTTAAATTCACTTTCTCTCAGGCTATGGAAGGTCCTAGTGGGGTCCCTCCAGGGTTCAGTACCAGGACATCTTTTCTTGATTTATATAAAAGATCATCCGCGACAGGTAACGTCAGACTTATTGTGAAACTTTGGATAGATAGAAGCAACCCAGAGGATAAATTGGCACTTCAGGAAGACCTGACTCAACTTAAAATCTGGGCAGATGAAAACGGAAATATCTTTAACACTTCAAAGTGTAAAGTACTTCATCTGAAGCATGTTACAGACTACGGCTACAACTTAGACGACTCTCCTCTAGAAGTGTCCCGAGTTTAAAAAGATATAGGAGTGTTGGAACCCTACGATTTGAGGTCTTACGCTAACTGCGACTAAAACGCCTTTAGAGCAAATCTGCAGTGGTAAGATTGAAGTTCGTTTTTGGCCAGTTTGACGGAAGAACCTTCTACATAGTCTTCAAAAGTTTCATTCGTCCCCATTTAGAGTACGGAAACATGGTGTGTCCTTGCTCACTCCAAAAGAATAAAGACGCTCTAGAATGCATTTAACGGCGAGCCAGAAACCCAGTACGGGGACTCAAACTGAAGCCTCATGAAGAGCGCCTCCAATCACCAAACCTTTACACACAAGACTACAAGATTGTATTTTATTATGATTTGCCAATTTCTTTTTTCTTTTTTAACTTTAATATACCAAGGTTCCTGCCTAAAGGTATTGATGATCCACTACTATTAGACACGGAAGCCCATTTAGCGAAAGCTTCTTCAATCCCGTCCACAACCATTTGAACCATTTTAAACCATTTGGAATTCACTCGTTGATAATTCGATGAGAAGAAAATAATCAGGTGGAAAAATAATATTTCCTGGGCTTGTGAACCATTATGTGGCGTCGTTGTAAAGTCTCTGTTTTGGAAGACAAAAAACGAGGGCATATTAGGTGGAAATTTATCACTAAGTAATTTGAAAGCTATAATCAACCCACCACTAGTTCTCCGATAGGACAAGGGGAATAGGTTAAGCTTAGCCGGTCAAGCATCATACAGGAGCTTCTCTATCCCGGGAATCAATTTAGTTGATGTTCTCTGACACTTTTACAAGAGCTCACTGCCTTTTCTAAGCACGGGCTAGCCGCTTGTAATAATAATAATTTATCCTTAAATAACAGTTTGTTACATGAAGCATTCCAGTTTACAGGCAGGATCAGATGTTTACAAATGATACGAATTTCACCGTAGTAAATTACTCAGTTGGGTTGATGTTTTATAGGATATGAATGTAGACGGTTTGAGTAAAACCCGTACTGTCAATATCACTCAGCGCGCGCTTCAAAAAGAGCAGAGATTTTGTACTTGTTGTAATTATCCTTGCTTTTGTGCACTTGTTGCCTCAAAGGCATTCTTGGTCCACTTTAACTTGAAGTGTTTAGGCTAAGGTTTTAAAACTTGCTAAACATTGTCTTGTAATACATTCTTTCTCATCGACTGACACCTACGTCAATACTGTGGTCATATTGTGTTATAAATCTGATTACAATGGTTGGTTGGACTTATAAATGTGGACAGCCAAACTGTTTTTTCCCTATGGAGGAAGGAATATAGTGCGGTGAGTACAAAAGTGGTTCCATAAGATGTGCACCAGTTTAAGTTCCACAGCATACAAAGGATGCTGGAAGCCTAACTCGCATTGGCTTTGCATGTTTAAATGTACAAATAAGACGTTACCAATCAAGGAGGCTATGAGCCTATTAAATTTGGCCTTTGAGTAGAGAGATGGTGGTTTCCGTGGCACTTATGGCGAAGATTGCTTCAGTGTCGTAGGTGCTGTCATGGAACCTATCAGACACCTAACAGTGCGACAGGCAATTTAGCCTTCTACCTCGAAACAATTAATCAGCAGTATGCCATTAGACATTGGTGGCCAAGTAGCTACGGCGGCAACTGACGATCCTGATAAAACCACCACCGTTCCGAGTAGTCGCAATGTAAATTTTGCGACTGATGGGAAATGGATGACGCGGAAACGTAGGACAGTAGGGAAGATAGCAAAAAGTACTCCGCCAAAGTCCCAAAGTGAGACCTCATCAAACATTGTTGTGAGTCATTCGCTCGACTCCCATGACTCTGTCAGAGAAAAAACTAACGGTTAGATGCCAGCAGTCAATATACAGGATCTGACATCACGGTCGAAAGCCGTGAGCACGATTTCCAATGAAGTTAAACCCTTTTCTAGATTAATTATTTGGAATCTAGAGGGGTCCAAAGGCAATGAACCTGCTATAAGACATGCACACGATCTGCAGTTAGTGGAATCTGTAACTAGAAATGTACTGCCTGTAAAGGTTCCAGGGGTACATATCACGTTGTCAATGCGACTCAGTAAATGGGTCGGAGGAGAGACCTAACCGAGAAGGATCATGAAGTTTATACTCGGTAATTTCGAAGAAAGCGACGTAATGTTGAACAGCGCATACAAAACTCGTGGTCCGAATATTCGTATCTCACCAGAGTGGCCTCTTAAGGATCGAATCAAGTAGAAGAATGCTCCTACAGAGTTAGGAACTCGAAAGCGGAATGACAAAAGGAACCTTACGATTAAGGGTTTTCGGGTAGTCAGCTCTTGGAAGGCAATGCTTCCGATACCTTCATGGGTAGAACGAATGATTCCCAAAGCACCTTAAAAGTGTTTTAAGAACGCCTGTAGTTTTTATAATAAAACGTCCGAGCTAAGTTTGATGGTGGATGAATTAAGTCCCGATGTGATTTTCGTCACAGAAACGTGGCTCAATGTAGATAGAGACTGTTCTTCCATCACTGAAGGTTACATCTGTATTAGAAGGGATAGAGAGTTAAGTCTCAATAGAGGAAGCATAATATTATATGTCAGGGACCACTTTCGTATACAATCAATCATATTAGTGGTAAATATGAGGGAGCATGTTGCAAAATTAAGTCCAGAAACGGGTTAGTGACTATGGGAGGAATATACTGTAGTCCTTGTTGTCTTGCTGACGACTTCACCTTTAGACATATTTGTTCTCGGAGTAACGCAGAATGTTGTCTCATCATTGGGGACTTCAATGCACTGCATATCAACTGGATATAACTTACAGTTCCATGTGAGGTTTTTGATAGCGACTCTCTATCAACCATTATTTAGTGTGCACTTTACAATGTATCAAAAAACCGACACAGATTCACTCGGGCCGTGATCCGTCATTGCTGGACCTTCTTCTCACACACCACTGTTCGCATGTAATCGACATTCAGCAACTTCATCTACCAGTGAATAGTGATCACGTTGCACTGTACTTTAAGTTTAGGAATATGGAATACAATACGTATCTGCTCCACACCGTCCTAATATCTGGTGAGCTTGTAGTGGCATTGGGCCCTACCACGAGGCAATATGAGAAGTAGACATTAAACATTTAACGCGGAGAAATACAGAAGAATGGAGAAGGCGGGGGAATAAAAATTGAATTAATACGAGTTGGTCAGATGGCATGGCTCAACCATGCAGGCGTGGTCCCTCCTGCTAAATGTTACGTTATGTCTTTTATTCATATTAAATATATTGTTCCATCTCTAGCCTAAGCTTGTTCTCTATCACGTATTGGTAATTGTTACAATGCAATGAATTGGTGTGGGCGATGATGTAACTTCCACGTAAGATCTTATAGATTAGGCAGTTACATCATGATAAATCTACAATTTTAGGATTAGGTCTATTATTAGAGCAGTGCTAATATCATAGTAGACCATAATTCTACATTGGTCAGCCCGACTGAAAAAAACGCAACCTATTATCGTTAATCTGTATTTCTACTTCATTTTTCTCGATCGATTTTTGCTTATTTAAACCCATTATCTTAATAGTCCTCCGACTAGTGCTCATATGTTTTATCGTGACGTTATATTGACTAGTGCTCATAACCTACTAGCTCAATCGATAATAAAAACAGGTCATCTATATTAATTATTATCTTTGGTGGTTCATTAGCAAGCTTCAATAGCATTTACATGCTACAGCGATATAAACTTGTTTAAACATCAAGCTCTAGCAAATATGACCTGTAAATAACGTAAATATACGTTGACTAGCAACGTAAGCAAGGACTAAATTGTTATCTGGATCTAATTCCTCATATTGTTTCTTCACGTAACTCTTCATTCTGTCTTGAACTATGCACTATCCTGTCATATTTTTATCTTCTGACCACTGCCTGCCTAACTTCCAATTGCTGAGTTCCATGGCCAAACAGGATGCAAATGCTAGAAATTTACAGTGAGTTTGAACTATAAATTTCCTTCAATCTTAGATCTCGTTTAGACTGTTCGTCAGGCAATGCTACATATTTGGCTTAAATTAATTTTGAACTTACACAAATCCAGTTTTTAATGCTGGGTTAATCCAAGAATTTAGTCGACAGTACCTTGTGTATAATCCAGATTCGAATTACTGTCCAATTCAAATCATCATTACTTGAAAGCGAAAAATAATAAAGGCGATTTTAACTATTTTACTGGATGTTTTTTTTGTACTAAACATTTTATTTTTTCCAGTTGCTTTTGCTACATATTTGTAAGTGCCACTATGCTAAATACAGGAACCTCTTATGGGAATTTTATAACTCATCATAATCCTGCCTGAAGTTTCATAAGCAGTCTTAACTTTAAAATTATTTTTCTGACAATGTTTGTCATATACATCAATAACCTGCATGTTAAACTATCCTGTAAATGAGTTGCATTATATCTCCATGCCTTTTGAATTCGAAAGTCATTTGAATCGCCTTTAGCATTTCTCACCAAACCCATCATAGTCATTCTTGCTATACGTATTTGGGTTTATAAATTGGTCTACCATATTAGTGACATAAAAAGACAAACATAGTTTAGATAATAAAGTTACAAATTTAAGTACTAGCATACTGCCTTAGTATGATAGCTAAACTATCAGGTAGTTGTTGGCTAAACAAACATTTAAAATTAAAACTCCGGAAACTATTACTAAAATTAACACTAGATGTATATTCTTGAATTGAAAATTATAATACAATTAGGCGACTCGGTTTCTTCAACGCTACAAATTTCTGATAATTTCAAATCACCTAAAGCAACAATACCTATTTTTTCCACCGGCTGATCCTCAATCAACACTATAATTAGTTAAACATAATGGTTTCAGGATATCGTCATAAAGCATTGTCATGACTTGACAATCACGTAATATGATTGATAAAGTTGACCAAACTATTGACAAATCGGTCAGCAAATTGACTTATAATTATCATTAAGTAGTGTTTTTCTTTTCATTCACTACGGATGATTACAGTATGTTTATCAGTTGCTCATTCAGTAAATATCTCAAAACCTTGTCAGTCTAATTGGAGGTTTAGCGACACAATCATGCATGCAAACAATCAGTATAAGCAGTCGAGCAAATCTCCTGCAAACTGAAAACATAAATGTCGAATTTACCCCAACATTGACTAAAATTCAAGCCATTATCATAGACATGAGTTGGCAGTGTACTCCTCTTGGTTACTACTTATGTTCTCCCTGGTAATCCCATGAGCATCACTCACTGTTAATCATCTTGTAAAAACTTATTTAGACGAATACATCTTGCAGCACCACATCACCTAAAAATGTGGCACATAGGCCTAACTGATTTCAATAACTTATAATCACTATATCTCAATGAAATAGCATTCCGTCTTATACTAAACTGGCACTTGCAACTAACTTGTATGTACCATCAGCCGATAGGTATGAATATAAATAAATAGTCTATGGCACATCAGAACATTGAGTCTAGAGCATATCTTTAACAGATACACTCATGTTTAACGAATCGCTCTTATCTATCTGTCCAAAATCCACACAATTATTACTTTTCACGTATTTAAAAATTTTTGATAACAATTCATATGTATTAGTTGTATTACTAAATTCTATCAGGGTC